AAATACAGTGAAAAATAGGTAGGTACGATCATTATCATAATTATCACATACCTAGTATCGCATTCATAAATCGGTCTAGACATAGCAGTATACTACCTACCATGTAGTTTATTGATTTTAAACACACGTGTAAACTGTACAAAATATATTTTATGTATTACATATAGATACCTACACTATAATATAGTCTACTATATGATGCATACTGCAGAGTTTACCTTAACGTGCTCACGATTTTGGCAGAGTAGTTTTTTATTCTTCTCCTCTCTCTCTCTCTCTCTCCCATCAAATTTAGCAATGTATACTGCGGAAGTGGCGAATGAACAGGGTGTTCAAAGATGTTTTCCGTGGGTGTATTGCACATTCAAATCCTTTGTATATTATATTATTTAAATGTGCGGATATCGTATTATAAAAGTATTAATTTATCACTTATTATACTTATGAGATATGATTTATGATCACCATGTACAGTACTTTCAGGGTCTGCATTTAATAAACTGTTTATGGTTACTTTGTAAAAGAGATTAAACGTTTGGTCGACATTTGTTTCGCCTCATTTTCAGTGCATAATATTTGAAAATGATTTTAAGCACACTAAATAATTAATACAATTTTTTTTTTAATATTCGTACTTAAGCATAGTTTTAATTTACTTAAATTATATTTTAGATTGTTTTAAATGAATAAAGTGTTGTATATAAGTTAAACTAAGTAAAAAAAAATTTTTAAATTACATACCCTCTATAATGAATATTGACTAGATATAATATTAAAAGAAAATATTTTAATGTAGGTATAATGTAATTTTAATCACATAAACTCAAAACTTTAAATAAAAAATCAATTCTCGTTTCTTTAAAATTTTAAATGCTCAATCTATAGAAACTTAAACGATATGGTAGATATTTTAAAACTCAGGCCATATAGGTTCTAAATAAAAAATAAACATAGAATATTGACCGTATACTTTACTAGTTTATTATTTATAAGCAGCCAAAATATAACTAAGCCAATAAAGTAGGGAAACTCTGACACCATTGCTCTACGAACTATTCTATAAACTTTAAAAGTAAAGTGCGTATAAAGTACAGACCTAAATAATATATTATAATATATCGATTCAATATAGAAGGTTAGGTACAGCATAATATAGTACATGTTAAAAACTTCAGTGTTCAAAGTGAATAAAAACTAAAAAGTTCATTACGATTGAATGTAGTTGATTTTTTTCAGCATTCTCTTTTCAATGAGTTTGAGATGTCTACGTATAATTTAGTCTGAAATTTTATTTTTTGTCGCTCTTGATATCTTCACACGTCGTGCGTCTGTCGGTAGTGATGAGTCTTAATTTTTGAAAGTGTTGCTTTTCAACTAATCACAACTATAATAAACCTATGTTATCGTGTGTGTATCTGGCAACGTATATACAGCTAGTATATACACTACGAAGAGTAAATTAAATCAAAAGACAAATTCAAAAGTTTAAACCAAAACTTTTGAACTCGTCAGTGACGGTCATCACAGCCTCTGGTAATTATTGTTATAATTAAGACTTCGTTGCGAGTCACAATTATTGTTACTTATTACCACTTCAAATGGTTCGGTAACATAACTGCAGGTATGAGACATTAAAAATGATTTAGTTTTATTTTACCATAGATCATTTGTATTATTATACTAATATTTTATACCGTAAGATAAGCACTGTGTATTATAATGCACGCACATCGCACACACTAACTCGACCGTTTTATAGTACGAAAAAATTGCGTATGGCGTCGTTAATTGCGGCGGTACACCTACCCATAACCATAATATAAACACCCGAGCTCGTATACTTATATCTACATAATATATACATATTATATATTGTGTGTATATATATATATATATACAGAAATGTATATAGACGCGCGTTCTCCGCCGTATATAAATCAACGGGCGATCTCGGCAACAGGTGCGCGCGGGCGGGAAATAAAAACTCGTCCGTCGCCGCCGCCGCCAACTGCAACAGTCTCGAGTATACCTACGTAGGTACAAACGTATAATAATAATAATAATAAAAATATAATAATGATGTATACACAATCTAATAATAAAAAGTAATGCAATTCGATATTGTTGTATATGACTTTTTTTCGTTTCCTTTTCTCCCCGCCCCCTTGTCCCGCCGACACGTCTCTCCATGCGCGCCTGATGTGATAACTTCCCCCACGCGTGTCGTCGTCGTTAGCTCCCCGCGGTCAAAGTCGCACATATAAAAATGAACATAAAAAATTAATTTTTAGACCTCCGAACGTGAATTAAATACGTTTCGTCGGTTTTCCCACCGATGATGTGTTTTGTGTACACATAATATATATTTTATTATTCATATTATATCGTTATAATAATATTATAAAAACGAGTAAATATAATATTATACGCGTTTGACATTATTTATTACACAATACTAATATTATATATTCGCACGTAGGCGGTACAGGTGTAAAGTTACACATCTCGTAAAAAACTTCAAAAACGTTTGAAACGATTTATGCGTATAAAATCGGCACGCGATCAAAGAGTGTGCTGCAGGTATTTGTTTTCCACTCTGACGCCGCCGCGGCGATGCGAAATTCTAAACGGACTACTATTTAATATTATAATACACAGAATTATTCACCATTCACCAAGAGCATGGTCACCCCCACTTTGCCTTTTATAATGTATTTGTTCGAATTCAGATTTTCGGGATTTTTACACAATATACTCAAAGACTATTTTTTACAAATTCTTGAATTCATTTGTTCTAATTGAGTGTCCTATGGAGATACAAACTTCTGTTTTGCGAAATGGGAATCCCCCATTTAACCGTAAATTATTTAGTTAACCGTAAATTATTTAGTGGATAATTTGTTTTAAAAATGTACAAGTACCTCGTTCAATATTCGAATGAGTTGTTTCTCAATTAATAAAATGTTTATAATAACGATAGTGGTCTTTAAAAATTGTTTCACAAATAGATGTAATATCAGAGAACAAAACAAAACTATCAACAAATTATTGTACACAATATTATTGTTTGATCGCTACATATTGTACAGAATGATAATTTGTCGTTTCATGGTAGTATATATATACCAAGTACCTACATACGACATACCTACTGTTCGTTATTGAAAATCTTAAATATTTATTAAAAATACGAGTATAATGTGCTCACGAAATGTATTAGCTAATATGGAACTCAGTGTACCTCTATTTGATAACGAATAGGTATAACTCCTATAAAATGTTTTTTTTACATATTATTTTTCAATTAAACAATTTATAACATAGATTGTACTCTGCTTGCGGTGCGTTAACGATTCAATATATTATAATATGAACACATATAGTTTTCAAATACAATAAATCGTTCTCGTTACTTATTTTACCCAAGATAATTATACAATATATAATAGGTATTAGGTTTGTGTACCTTCAGGTTATGTTTGGATAAGTCTTTGGCATGGTTTTTGATAATAATTTATTCTTAATTATTTTTGTTGTACACCCCCTTCCCACGCCCTCACACACAAGTGCACAACCCGCAACAAACATATTTTCCGTGTCTTTTGCCGATATATATGTATATACCTAGTATATAGCTATGGAAATAAAAAATAAATGTCGTATTTTCGTTCAGACACAACTTAAATCGTGGACATACATTATTTTAAAACAACACCGGCAACTGTTTATTGTATATATTATTATGTATAGTGTGAAAGAAAACATAAATTACAAGACTCGATGACCGCAGTAGGTGACCTTCGTACAAAAGTGAACATAAATTTTCCAATTTTTCTGAACTTACGGCATCGCAACCATTAGAGATACCATCTCGGTTGGAAGTCTCCGCAAACACGTCGTATATCAAAACTAGAGAATTGTTGTTGTCGATGTCGTTGTTTATTTTTTTACTCTTTAATCCCCACGTTCGTTACTGTCGGGATTCGTTACCCGTATTAATAGCGCCGCAACGTTATTTCAAGACCACATAGCGACGAGGAGGTATAAAAATAAAAATCGAAAACGCGTGGCTACTGCAGACAAACGAACCTTATTATTTGTATTATAAAACATTTGACGGCATTGAAATTGTCCTATAAATTATAAAACAAACATTTTTTTTTATTCCATAGATCGTGTGTTGATACATCCGAATTTGAGTTTAAAAATAATAATTTCTGAATCATCTGTGTATAGACATTATTAAACTTATGAGTATATTACCTAAATTTGTAATTTTGAAAAATTGAATGTATTTTAATAATATGTGCTTGGAAATAAACTATACCTTCCTATGCGTTCTATTTGAGTGATTTTCAAAAACTACACAACTTTATTGTTTAAAATATACAAAAATCTAAAACCAGCAATATCTGTTGAGAAATCAGTATTCAGTCACAATGCAGTATATCTGTTGTAGTAGTGTAACTGCAAGTATACTTTAAATTATTTAAAAAAAAATAGGTATTTAAGAAAACGTGAGTGTAATCAAACATACAACTAAATTATTAATTACAATTTTAAATTATTTACATCATAATATATAATACACAGATTATAATATAGACATTCTAGTCAAAATTTAAATGTACGACAATCCACTTAACATGGGCATGTAAAAGGAGGGATATTTGAAATGGATTCTAATCAATGAAAATTCCAGTCTTCGCCACTGCCATTTAATATTCTATTGCGTTAACGAAAAAAGGCAGGCACCAGCTATTTGTAATGTATTATATTATGTTAAGACTTAAAACTGAACTCAAACCGTTAGAAATAAAAAATATTTTATAATTTATAACGTTATTATTTATTATGTTATAACTTACAAGTATAAAATATATCGTTTGTTAATTACTAAAAATGCGATTATACCTATACCAGCTGTGTTTTAATGGCAACTGAATCAAATTATGGGTTTGTTATACCATAACACTTAGAAACTAGAGAAATAATAATTATTAATTAGTGGAAGAGGGGAGTGAGAATCCCTGTAGGTCGTAATACATTGCTGCCACAGTCATCCCCTGGAAGGCGACTCGGGCATACATCATCTTTTGCCCCAGCATAGGTTGGCTGGTAACCATAGAGCTAAGTCCAACCGCGTAACAGCCCATAGTCATCACGATACCTACAAAATCAGTAGCTATGTGTAAATTGAATCACAAAGCAGGCTCCCCTTTTTCTCTTCAATAATAAAATTATTCAAATTTAAATTTTTGGAATTTATTCAAATTATTGATTTGTCTTGTACTACTTAAATAGTGTCCTGCAGCAATGGTTAGGTTAGGTAAAACTTCTGTTTTTAAAATTATAACCCCACCCTACCTATATAACTGTAAATTATTTAGTGAATAAGTGTTTTTAAAATTTTATTGTACCTAATTTGATATTCAAAAGAGTAGTTTTTCAGTTATTAAAATGTTTATAATAACGATGGTAGTCTTTATCAGTGGTCATTAAGTAAACCTATTTAAAAATTCCAAATATCAGATTTTGAATAATTGAATGATTAAAGAAAAAAATAGAATGAGCATATAATATGCTTGATGAATCCTGTGTATATATAATATTATATATGGGGCTGACAATGCATGTTGAAATACTTTAAGCAGCGAAAATTTATAGTTTCAAAATATAAATCACGTACCGGAAAAAAGGAAATAACAACGGTACTAATATTATTTTTACAGTCGTGGTTTATATATTATGGTGTTTTGTCCTAAAATCTGTTCGTTACATGATGTAATGTGCCACCGAATGATGTCGTTTCGCACACATCGAGTTTACAGTTTTACACTAAAATTATACACGCTGATGGCGTTCTCTCCATAATAATATATGATATATATCATGACTTAGGACTGACCTATTGGTACTAATAGGTTTCCGGCCAATTGTTGCAAAAGACTAGGTCGTGGAGCGTCCCGGAAATCCGGCACTAACTTCGCTTTAGCCGAATCATTTTCCATCGTCAAAATACCAATAATGATCGGACGTCGTTGTATAATAATTTAATACGTTATGTACTTTTATACTTTCTGGACAATATTATTATATATTTATGTACACGCGTATATAATAGCCAATAGGTATATTGACGAGTTGCTATAACGACAAACTATTATACCGATATATACATACTATGTATATACATTATTACATGGATGTGAGTTATTTTAGCATAGAAATGTTTTTAGACTGGATATAAGATTCTGTTTTGCATAACCAATTTTGTGTAACAATATTTTTTTTATTCCTAAAACATATTTATGATTCCTGAATTTTCTTCTCGGAAAGCAAGCATTGATTAGTGTGCTCATTTTGTTTATATAGAGTGGTCGCCATTTTATATTTTTGAAATGCCATTCAGAATATGGAAATTGATTGAAATTTTTCGTTGCCATCAAAATTGGTCCACCCGATTTCATCAGACATATCTGCTCGGCGTTGTCAACGGTTGTTAATTAAATCATGTTTGTTCTCTATACCAAAGCGATCATAATATTATAAAATCAGCATATCGTTCTACGGAAATAGGTACGCACCAGCTTCACAACATTTAGATTTTATTGATTTCACTATACTTTATATTATTAACTCTTGTGTCACTCGTATTGTCTGTTTGCAGCATATAACGTTTATATAATAATATATGAACAAGAACCGACTAGGATTTTATTATTTTATTAGGTATTCTGGTATTCCTATATTTTTATTCTGGAAGTGCGTATATCTATAATTTATAATATATCTATGTAATATTAAACGTTTGACATTCTACGTAATGTAGAATACAAATATATATTCAGGCGTAGGCGGTATATGCAGGTGTAAAGTTACAAATCTCGTAAAAAACTTCAAAAGCGTCTGAAACAATAATTTATGCATATTATATCGGCACGCGATCAAAGGACTTGTATTTATTTTCCATACTGCTGGCGTCGTGCAAAAAAAAATTAACATACCTTTTTTATATTCCCCATCCCCTGCATGAGTCCCTTCAGTAAAATGTGTTCACTTTTGACGATCAGTAGCTGGGTCTACCTAAATAATATATAATATCAGTTGGTAACAGGTATGGTAACAGCTTAAAAATATCACTTTATGAATGCGATGCGTAGGTGCAATATGAAATGGTTTGTAAATATTATTGTACACAACATGTATTATAGTTTGATCGAATGTAAAAAATAATAATTGTCACCATTCTCATAGCTGCAGTATATTGTTCTGTTAAGAATATGTTTTTTTCTTAAATATATATTTGAGAATCCCAGATATTTACTAGGAATTGAGCATTTTAGGTTTGAATATGAAATATTACTCAGCAGCCATGCAAATACGGCTCAATATTAAACGCATATTACGATTTTCCGATATAATTTTAAAGTTATTTTTTTCAGAGATAATAGAATGGAATATGAACAAAAAGGTATTAGCAGGTTAATGTATCACGGTTTGGCATTATTAGATTATTAATTATTATTGTTGTACACTTCCTCCCACGCCACCTCTCACCACCGCCGCTCAGTATCCGGACCAGATAAATATACATATGTTGAAAAGAATTGCTGTCCTACGAAGAATTTCACGCAGCCGCGTCTTACGTGCGTATTCTCTATTCGTATATATTACGCGTCACGTGTAGGATGTAAGAAGATTGTGAAGGTTCATAATGAAATCTAAAGTAACAAATTAAAAAGTGTGTACAACTTTTAATTTACATATACGCACACCACTATGGGTATGTTATATTTTAAAATATTTTGGCGAGTGGATTTTGGGAATTTTAAGCACGGCGGGTTACGTAATTCAGTTATCCGTGGCTGTACTTGTTTGTAAATAAATTTCGCTTACACTGCGTGCACTTGTTGCAGTATATTTAAGTACCTAACTCCTTATTGTATTATTATCATTACATTTTAGCCAACGACAACCACGATTTTAAATGGCGCTTTTACCATTGCTGCAATGCTATTATAAGTATACTATATAAACTATATGCCCAACACCACCGCCGCCACAGCAGTGAGTATACAATAAACATATAAATATATTAGTGCGCTTTTGTGTCTATAGATAGGTATATATTATATATACGTATAGATACGTAGGAGGTATCCGCCGTACGAGTGTTTATCTGGGCGGCGGATCTGTGCGAAGTTATTTGCAGCGCACGTCGGTTATTAACACAATGGGTATAACGTAGGTATAAGAATAGCTATATAATAATATCATGTGAAAAACAATCACGGAATTTAACTATCCGCGTCGGTGCGGCGCTGGAAAAATTAAACAATTGGCTGCGCGCGAGGAAAAAAAATCCCGCGAGAATCTTAAACCGGTAGGACTTTTTCCTTTTTTTTTTTTTATGGTCATTTAATCGTTCGGTTCGCTGCCAAAGTGTAATATTTTTTATTTTTTATTTTTTTTTTTGTCGTCGCGGTCGTCGCTGGTCGACCGTCAGCGATGTCGTTCGTTGTGCGGGTGTGTGGTGCGGGGTGGAGGTCGGAAAACTAAATAAAAAAATACTATTCAGCAGGGGCAACTGCTGCAGCAGAGGTGCTCGCTTTTGACGATACGTATACAGGTACATAAAAGACGGTTGTTCGAGGTGGTCACATATATACCTGTACCTATACTCATCGCTCGATAGTACCTATATATATGTATATAATATGATTATATAGGTACAGTCGTCGCGCAGCACTCGCCAGCCACGGCCTTGGGATCGGGCTCGAGGAATGAGGAAAGGATATACACGCTGCAGATGAATGCAGAGCCAATAACCTTGGCAGGTCACACATTTGGTTCAACGACTGTTACGTTTTGTGGATTTCGTCCGGGCGAACGTTATTATTTATTTTTTTTTTTTATAATACGTAATTCGTGTGTACTGTACTGCTGCAGTTATTTAGGTACACCTATATATACGTATGTACATGGTGTACGCAGAACATTATATACACATCATCATCGCGTGCATGTTAAGGTGCGGAAACCGTAGGTACGTATGAACTGTACGTGTATATAAATATGACATTATAATATGTATATTGTATATATCTAGCCGGTACTCGCGTTTAATATCGCCCGGAAGTTGGTTGACGCTCCATCGCCGTCATTCCTCGGACAAACGGTAGCGCGTATCCTTGAAACTACCAAAGTCATTATTATATACCTACGCACTGGCTGTATATGCAGATACCGAAACCGTAAACCTGCGGAACGCCCGAATCGAGATCGAAGATTGATACATTACAATAAAATGTATAATGTTTTCGACCGGGTGGTGGTGTGAGTTTGGATTTAACGGTAAGAAAAGATTGTACATAGACGACGACAAACCTGCAGGTTATACTACAGCCCACCACAGCTTTCGAAGAGTTCAGTGAACCCAAATAAATTTCTTTGAATGTAAACCTTTAATGAAATATTACAAACTATACTAATTGTATGTATTGTTGTATAAATATATTGAATGACCGACTAGTTAAACTAGAAATACGCTAAAATATAAAATAATATCAGATATTACTATAATATAGACTTATACCAACCTGTTTGAGCAATCCACTCGTCTCTGTTTAAAATGGGATAAAATTCAGGCTACGTATATTATGTTATTCTTGCAGCCCATACCCAGGACCATTGTGTAAGTCCTAGAAGCTCATTATTGAGTGTAGAGGGTAGTTAGACATGGGTTTCAAGACTATCTATACCTACATGCATGTGCTGCAGGACCGCACATGTCGTCAACGGCACCACCAGACAGGACAATGAAAAGTTTGAATTTTTGGTCGAAACAACTGCCCTTGAAACTTTACCAGAAGTCTAAATAATATACTTTATCGTCTCAATTTTTCTTTTGTTTCCATTTATTTCTCATCTATCGTCCGTACGGCTATACAATATAATGAATTTATTATATCGTGCAGACCTAGCATCCGCATCATGTGTGTAGAACTGTAGAACCACTCAACTTAAATGTAATATCAAAATAAAATATAGGCTGATTTTTTTGTCAATATTACGGTACCTAATTTATGTGTTATAAAATACTTTCTTTTATAGTTTTTACATAATTTGAAGTTATGGTGTAAATCATAATGTGACGTCGTATGCACCTCGACCTGCACCATACTAGAGTAGTAGCCCAACAATAGCTTTATTTATTATTATTCGTGCTACTCTTATACATACCATATTACCATCACACCATCGCGAGGAAGATACAGCGGACTATATTTTTTTGCTGACTATCAGACTATGTGGCTCACTTGTTACACATTGCATACACATACAATATTGTAACTAGTACTAATATTTGCAAATTTTCCGTTTTCGAATAACGTTACTATTTATAATTATTCCCATCGTTTGATTGTGAATGCGAGTCTGATCGTAGTTCTTTTTTAATTCTTGCAATAAATAAATGCATAAATACAATCGCTACCTGTGCATAGAGAATCCCTGTTATTTTTATTTGAGTTAAATATAGTAACTCGAAACACTCCTCTACTCTTGATGTCTCCCACAGTCCGATGAAGACTCAAATAGTTAAGGTGAGACGGAAGGTCAGGAATAGGTATTAATAGGTACATAAATACGTTGTACATTGACCCATACACTAAATAGTAAATACCGTTGTTTCCGTTTTTTACAGATTACACGAGAACACATAACGTAAAGCTATGTCCTACATATACACACGCACACACAATTCACCCACGTCGTAAGTACGTAACCCATCAGTGATGACTAGACCGCTGCTGCTACTGATTGAACTACGCTTACACCCACTGAACTAAATACTTTTTAATTGGTGTGAATAATGTATGTAGTTCCGTGTAGACACCGTGCGATAATATACGGTCAGCCGTCGGGTTAGGTTAGGTTATGGATAATTATTGGCACACGAGCGAAGTATTTGGCTCGGCGTACGAGAGTATAAATATCACATACATTC